TTGTGCCGAGCTCATGGCAGTTTGAGACACTTCATTGATGTGGAGACATTGGGGTGACGATATGAGATGACAGTTTTTATGGATCGTTCCTTACTGGAGGGGGATCGACGTTGGTTGTCGAGCATTGGTTTTGGTTTTGGAGCTTCGACATATTTGGGTCATCTTGGTCATAGGTTGCCGACTGTTGCGTGTGGATATTTTGGATCTGGTAGAGCTGCTTTAGATTTTGGGTTGTGTCGGATATTTGGTTGCCCAGTATTTAGTCACATCGAGGATGTGAGATTTGATCCGATTGTACGTTTGGGATTTAGAGGTTTGTTTGATTATCAGTTAGGAGCTTCTAATTTTGTTCTGAGCAGGTATGTCACATTTGACTCTCGGTAGATGGAGAGTATTAATCAGATCATTGGGATATCATCGCAGGTGGAGGGTGATGCTACTTCACATTGGGTGGAGATTACTCCACATACTCCAAATCATACTGCGTCATTTAGGATTCTAGCTGAGGTGACACCGTTTAGAGATTATTTAGATTTGGATGCAGATGATGAGTTGGTTTTGAATTCGAGTGCAGCTGGTGGACATGTTTTGGATACGGCCATTGGTTCACCTCAGGTGGAGATGTTTGATTTGTTTCAGTTTGGGGCCATTAGGAGCGCTATCAGTTGCAATTGGTTCACCTCAGGTGGAGATGTTTGATTTGTTTCAGTTTGGGGCCATTAGGAGCGCTATCAGTTGCAGATCCGTTGGTGATATTGGTGAAGAGTTGTTTGTTTCAGTTTGGGGCCATTAGGAGCGCTATCAGTTGCAGATCCGTTGGTGATATTGGTGAAGAGTTGCAAACTTTTCTATTTGATTGAGACCCTTTGGAGGCCGTTTGGGTGAACTACGTGAAGGCTTGGTTCCTTAGGCAAGAGGTTACGTAGGCAGTCGTTTATGATGCGGCCGGTTTGGTGAGTTGATACCGATATTTGGAGTTTGTTCGCATTCTCGTTTGGGTTCTCGACTTATTGTGTATTGAGTCCGTTGTCGTGGATTTGTTCCACTTCGTACTGGACGTAACAAGTGAGATGTTTGGTTGGTATTGGTGTCGGCTCAGTTTTGAAAAAACTTAGCTGATGTGGAGAATTGTTGGATAACAGGTTCCTAATATGTTTCCTAATTTATTTTGGTAACAGATTATTAAGATTCCTAATCTGTTTTGGTAACATGATTCCAAATCCGTTTTGATAACAGCTTATTAGGATTCCTAATCTATTTTGTTTTTTGATTTAGAATTCCTAGTATGTTTATGATTTTAGGATTTCTATATATATGGAACAATTGGAAGAGAGAATTGAAAAGAAAATTGAGGATATTTGGAGCACAAAAGAGGTATTTTCTGAGCTATTGATTAGGGTTTTGTTTGGAGAGAATTAGAGATTTGTTGGTGAGATTAATTAGTGAGTTTGAGTGATTTGTAGATTAATTAGTGAGTTTGAGTGATTTGTAATCTCAGTTTGTACTCTTCTTCTCTATTAGTGAAAAACTCTATCCCCTTCTTGCCCCGTGGACGTAGGCAACTTGCCGAACCACGTTAAAATTGGTTGTTTGTGTTTGTGGCATTGATTTGGTTCGTTTGGCCTTCTCTCGACGTTTGTTTGATTTGATTTCTCGAAGCACATTGGTTTGGTTGTTTAGCTTCCGCAGCGCTCAACAACGACAACTTCTTAAGGGTTTTGAGAAGGGTTTTTTGAGAAGAGAAATTGAGCGGTGATTTTAGATTAAAATCACACGCGTATTTTGAGAGATCTCAAGTTTTAGATCTTCTCTATTTCAAGCTTTGTAATTTCTTGTGGTTAAACAATAAATTATTCGTACGGCTCCCGTGGACGTAGGCAAGTTTGTCGAACCACGTAAATATGTTGTCTCGTCTCATTTACTTACTGTTTTATCTGTGTATTCGTTATTGCTTGTGATTGATTGGTTTTGAGTTTGGCTTAAACTCAAGCTTGGGTTGTTTTCTCTTCGGATTAAATAGCTTCCACGGCGGTGTGGGCATCTCTCGCCCTCAACAGGAGGTTATCAAGGAGGATGATGATGATGACACTCCGGATGCTTAGGTCAAGAAAGTTTGTGTGTACTGCTTTGCTAGCCCAAGGAGGGATGCTCCTCCTTTTGTTGTCACCCTCTGATGTTTCGCTACATCTCAGGTTCTTGGTAATGCCCTTATGTCTTCTTTGGTTAAAAAGTTATAGAGCCAATAAGCACTTTCTTGTTTAGATCTTTCTTAAAACAGTTAGCTGTCTTGGGGAATTTTAGTCTCCCCGGCTACTATGATTTGCGCAACTTGGAAGCCAACTCACAATCGACAAGATATAAAACAACCACAATCAAGAAGAAAGAACACCAAGATTTACGTGGTTTAGTCGACCAACTTCGACCTACGTCCACGAGAAACAATACGAGAAATTCACTATGTATCAGGGAGAGCTACAAGAAGAACCACTCAACTCTCGTCTCTCAATCTTTCAACCTCGCATACATAATCAACTCTCATATTACCTCCAAAGCCCTCTCCTTACAATCTTTTGAATGGACAAAGACTGCGAAACCCTCTCCTAATGATGTAATATTTTGCACGGACAAAGACTACGAAAAACTCGCCTCTCACACAATATTCTTGAATCAGGTTACGTCCTCTGTTAATCTTAGATTACAAGAATATTGGCTCTGTCTCATTTGCTTAATTTTTCCTCCAATAATAGAAGAATATATATAGGAAAACCAAAACTTTATCTCTAGCCTAACTTCCTAATTAGAATAGGATTCAAACTCCTAATCATGATGAGACTCAATATCCTAATCATGATAGATCTCTAACCCTATCTAATTCCTATGAAGTTATATAAAGTATCAAAGACACAATCCTAACAATCTCCACCTTGGATTTAATTCCCAAACCACCTCGAAGATCTTCCATTGTCGTCTTGAAACTTTACCTCTCCTGCTAGCGTCTTCTATTCCTTTCGCACTTCAAATCGAAGCACCTGCACTCCAACTGAGATGTCCCGTGACCCTCGCTACTCGTTATCATCTGCTTCACTGTGGCGCCTCCAACTATCTTGTGTACACCAATAGATTTTCACCACCTCTAAAATTAGAAGCAAATCAACCATGCTTCTTCTCCCAAACTAAACTTGGCAGTAGCTTTTCCCCCACTTGCTGTCCTCGTACTCCACCTGCATCGCTTGTCTCGAATCATATCGGTGCACCTCTCCTACTCCACACTACGAGCCAGATGCCTCCATCTCTTCCATCACTTAGCTTGGGCCGAATATGAGCGTTCATCGCCTTCAAGTCCAATGTCACCATCTCTATCAGCATTTATGTTACTCAATCGTGCCTGCTTGCAAGCTCCACTTAATCTGGCACTGTCCTCCTCGAGTCTACACACCAACCAACTACTGCTCCCACGATGACTCTGAATAATTATATGCTAACAACTCTACTGCTAGAATCACATCTGATTTTCTACGCCAGTCTCATCTGTCGCATACTTGTTTGCTCTATCTGCCATTAGATCTGCCTCGTCATCACCATCAGAACTTTTCAGCATTGTCTGACCAATCTGAGCATAATTTAAAAAATCAGACCCTCCCATTGCATTCAGAGCACAGCAAAACCTACAAATCAACTCCTGGAATACCAAAATCTACCTCCAAACCCTCAATCAGAAGACAACTTAATCTTCCTTTTTCTTTCTCTTCATCTTGATTCTTGTAACACCACTGATCTTCACTTTAGTACAACGTCTATCTTGGGAACTCACTCTCGGATCCATCAACATGCTCTGATACCACTTGTTGGAGAATTTTAATCCCCTGCGTACTACGATCTCCGCAACTTGGAAGCAACCCACAATTGACAAGATATAAAACAACCACAATCAAGAAGAAAGAATACCGAGATTTACGTGGTTCAGTCGACCAACTTCGACCTATGTCCACGGGCAACAATACGAGAAATCCACTATGTATTAGGGAGAACTACAAGAAGAACCACTCAACTCTCGTCTCTCAATCTTTCAACCTCACATACATAATCAACTCTCATATTATCTCTAATGCCCTCTCCTTATAATCTATTGAACGGACAAAGACTGCGAAACCCTCTCCCAATGATATAATCTTTTGTACGGACAAAGACTATGAAACCCTCACCTCTCGCACAATATTCTTAAATCAAGTTACGTCATCTGCTAACCGTAAATTACAAGAATATTGGTTCTCTCTCATCTGCTTAGTTTTTCCTCTAATAATAGAAGAATATATATAGGAAAATCAAAACTCTATCTCTAGCCTAACTTCCTAATTAGAATATGATTCAAACTTCTAATCATGATGAGACCCAATATCCTAATCAAGATAGATCTCTAACCTTATCTAATTCTTATAAAGTTATACAAAGAATCAAAGACACAATCCTAACAAGCTGACATGAGTTCGAAAATACTTGAAGCTTTTAGAATAGCCTGTGCTTTTGATTGCAGAATCAATAGCAAGTTAATAACAAGTTAAAGCCACAATGACTTTTTGTTGAGGGTAGCTGCTAGAATTAGTACTATGTGCATTTTGGTTCCAAGGTGTTAATAGTCTGCCACGTCCTGTTAATATACGCTTAGAGATTTCATGTCAGAAGATGTATTTCGATTCCTATCTCGAGTGCTCTTTGGTTCAAGTGCAAACTTGGGAAATAGTAGTTGACGTCCCTTTCCTTGCGAAGACTGATGAAACGTGTCAGAATCCGGTTTGCATCACCTGTTACTTTTCTATGTTCATTTGCTCTATGCGTGCATAACTTCTGATACCAGGATCCTATAACCTGTACTGTCTTCACTTGATACAACCTTGCAGGTTTCAAGAATTATAATTAGGGGTTAACTTTTTAGCTGTAGCCTTTTAAATCAAGTGTATTTTTCCATACTAAAAAATTACAGACAGACAGAAAACTGTGTTGTATGAAGCAAAACAGGAGATGTATTCCTCATTACATTACAATTTATCCCCTTTAAAATAACAACAATAAGGGTCAGAGGATAATAATAAAAAAGCAGAGGATTCATGCCTTCACCAGCTCCTTCGCTATTGACCGCTCAGTCTCGACGTGAGGAGCTGCTGATCCCTTGAAGAGCAAGATTGCAAGGCTTCCTATACTAAAATAGATGAAGCAACCCCTGTGATGTGTGACGAATGAGCCAAAATCAGTACCAACGATGCATTGCCACCCTGGATCATACAACTTGTCGAACTCCTGTACCGACACGATTTCTAAGGGAAGGAAGAGGGGGGAAAGGACTTGCGTCTCAGTATTCATAATTTAGAGCATATATACCTTCTTGATGAAGCGTGCAATCTCAGTGGAGTCTGTGATATCAAACTCATCAAGGGCTTTCCCTGCGAGATGGAGGGCTTCTTGCTGCATAGTCTGCAGCATGTCAGTGTCACCTATGAAAAACCTACAAATCAACTCCTGGAATACCAAAATCTACCTCCAAACCCTCAATCAGAAGACAACTTAATCTTCCTTTTTCTTTCTCTTCATCTTGATTCTTGTAACACCACTGATCTTCACTTTAGTACAACGTCTATCTTGGGAACTCACTCTCGGATCCATCAACATGCTCTGATACCACTTGTTGGAGAATTTTAATCCCCTGCGTACTACGATCTCCGCAACTTGGAAGCAACCCACAATTGACAAGATATAAAACAACCACAATCAAGAAGAAAGAATACCGAGATTTACGTGGTTCAGTCGACCAACTTCGACCTATGTCCACGGGCAACAATACGAGAAATCCACTATGTATTAGGGAGAACTACAAGAAGAACCACTCAACTCTCGTCTCTCAATCTTTCAACCTCACATACATAATCAACTCTCATATTATCTCTAATGCCCTCTCCTTATAATCTATTGAACGGACAAAGACTGCGAAACCCTCTCCCAATGATATAATCTTTTGTACGGACAAAGACTATGAAACCCTCACCTCTCGCACAATATTCTTAAATCAAGTTACGTCATCTGCTAACCGTAAATTACAAGAATATTGGTTCTCTCTCATCTGCTTAGTTTTTCCTCTAATAATAGAAGAATATATATAGGAAAATCAAAACTCTATCTCTAGCCTAACTTCCTAATTAGAATATGATTCAAACTTCTAATCATGATGAGACCCAATATCCTAATCAAGATAGATCTCTAACCTTATCTAATTCTTATAAAGTTATACAAAGAATCAAAGACACAATCCTAACAAGCTGACATGAGTTCGAAAATACTTGAAGCTTTTAGAATAGCCTGTGCTTTTGATTGCAGAATCAATAGCAAGTTAATAACAAGTTAAAGCCACAATGACTTTTTGTTGAGGGTAGCTGCTAGAATTAGTACTATGTGCATTTTGGTTCCAAGGTGTTAATAGTCTGCCACGTCCTGTTAATATACGCTTAGAGATTTCATGTCAGAAGATGTATTTCGATTCCTATCTCGAGTGCTCTTTGGTTCAAGTGCAAACTTGGGAAATAGTAGTTGACGTCCCTTTCCTTGCGAAGACTGATGAAACGTGTCAGAATCCGGTTTGCATCACCTGTTACTTTTCTATGTTCATTTGCTCTATGCGTGCATAACTTCTGATACCAGGATCCTATAACCTGTACTGTCTTCACTTGATACAACCTTGCAGGTTTCAAGAATTATAATTAGGGGTTAACTTTTTAGCTGTAGCCTTTTAAATA